GGAGAAGGAGGACAGGGTGGAGAAAACAGCTCCTCGGCTCACAGAACAAGCTCTGTGTGTGGCTTTTGCACTTTTTTAGTCTACTTGCCCACATTGGGAACCTCATGCAAGGGTGTGCAGGGGACATAGGGGGGCAGAAGCTCTGGGGAGGGTGGGGTGTGTCGTGGGTGTCAGCCAGGGGTCCCTGGAGGAGCTGGCCTTACCCCTGTGTGGGAGGAATTCAGGGGGGTAGCACAGAGCCGTCCTCCCAGGCCACGGGGACAGCACCACAGGCGGGGGTGAGACAGCCCAGGGCTGCGCCTCAAATGCTCCTGCAATGCCTGCCATCCGCCATGCTGGGCACAGAGATTCAACAGGCACAGGAAGCTGCCGACACTCCCCAGACGCTCACCGCCCAGGCTGGGCGGGAGAGGGAGGGACACAAGTAGCCAGACGATTGGGAAGAGGTAGTGATGGCGCCAGGGCTCATCCCAGCACCGATCAAGTCAGAAGATATTTAGGGAGACATACGTTTTTCTGGAAAACTGAATGACCTCCTGTCAGAACTGCTGTCAATCAATTTATCGCCACCCCCACCCCTATGATGTGCTCTAATCTGATTGGGGAGTCATGTAGAAGAAGAAGAAACAAACCCCCAATAATTTTTTCCAAGAAGCACACAACATCATCCTTTACAAAAACACCCAAACACACACACACACACACACACAAAAACACAGTGTTCCTAAACAGTTGAGGGAAAGGGCTGGTTTCCATGGCAACATTCCCTGCAAATCAGTCTCAGCCTGGCACAGCGGGGTGTTTATCTGACTCTGCCCTTTTCTCAGAAATGATCTGTTTCTGAGCACCCAGGCCCAGAGCTCCTTAGTCGAAGCCGCCCTAAAGGTGGCCGCCCCCCTCTCCGGACGTCCTCTGCCTCTCTCCCGCCTCCAGTCTCTCCTGTCCTGTCTTTGATTTTATCTCTGCCGGTCCATCCCTGCCAAGGGAACGGTGACCAGAGGCTGTGGGCTGACTTGACCAGAGGCTGTGGGCTGACTTGACGTAATTTCTCTCTCAGCATGAGGTCCCTGGTGGGCACCGCACTGGGTGTGTGGGGGCTGGGGCACTAAGGAGTGTACGTACCTACCTTGTTTGGCAAGAATTCAATGAAATAACATCTAAAGACGTACCTGTAGCTGGCACTCAACAAATTGTAGCTACTGTGTCTTGAATAAGCTTCTTACTCTGCCTCAGTTTCCTCATTTGTAAATTGGAATTATTTATAAGTAACCGCTGCCCCTCCTGGGGTTGCTATAGCTTAAAATAAGGCCGTGGCCGGGAAGTGCTGATAACGTAGGAACCGGCCACCTCGCCCTGCTCTTAGGAAGCTCACGGCAGCGCCCCTTCCTTCCAGGCCTCCCCTGCACCATCACCACAGAGGCCCTAACACAAAGCCACACATACCCCATTTTCCTCAGGTCTGTCCACAGGTTCTGATGGCTGTATTTAGTTACACAAATATACCATTTTTAACGGTAACATTAAACTATTGCTTTGAGGTCTCCATCACATTTCCTGAAACAATTTTGATCAAACTGCATACATTAAAAAATAATAATAATAATAATAACTAAACTATAGATTTTATTCAGATTTTGCCAGCTTTCCACTAAAGATCCGTCTTCTGTCCCAGAATCCCATATTGCATTTTGTCGTCTCCTGAGTCTCCTCCAATTTGTGACAGTTTTTCAGTCTTTCTGTGTCTTTCTCGTCCTTGACACTTTTGAAGAGCGCTGGTCAGGTGTGGCGTAGACTGTCCCTCGGTTTGGGTTTCCCCGATGCTTTCCCATGGTCACACACTGAGGATGTGGTTTT